CGTGAGGACACAGTAAGAAGGTGGCTGTCTGTGGTCCAAGCAGGGAGCTCTTACCAGAACCCAACACGTTGGCACCTTGATATTGGATTTCTAGCCTCTGGAACTGTGAGACAATAAATTTGTGTTGGTTAAGCCACTCAATCTATGGTATCTTGTTGGGGATAAATACTGATTACGTAAGCTGACGAAGAGAGCATCAAATCCATAGATCCATAGCATCAAATCTACAGATCAATCTGAAGAACACTGCCACTTAACAATATTAAGACTTCTGATCCATGAACATGAGATTTCTTTTCATTTATATAGGTCTTTTAAAATATCTCGTCACTGTCAGAGTATACATTTTATACTTAAGTTTCTTCCTGTATATGTTATCTTTTATATGACTGTAAATGGAATTGTTTTCTCAATTTTATTTTCAGATTGCTCATTGCAAGCGTATATAGACAAAGAATTGATTTTGGTATTGATCTTTGACCCTGCACCCTTGATGAACTTTGTTATTTCTAATGGGTTTTTAGTGCATTCCTTAGGATGTGCTATATGAAGATCATGTCACGTGAAAACAGAAATAATCTTACATTTTCTTTTACAATCCAGATGCCTTTTATTTTATTTTCTTGTATAACTGACCCCCTATGAACCTAGAGCAAAAGGCTGAATGGGAGTAGTGAGAGCAAACATTCTGTTCTTACTTTTTTTTTGGTTTGTTTGTTTTGTTTTTAAAATTTTTAAATGTTTATTTAGTTTTGAGAGAGAAACACAGAGTGTGAGTGGGGGAGGGTCAGAGAGAGAGGGAGACACAGAATCTAAAGCAGGCTCCAGGCTCTAGGCTGTTGGCACAGAGCCCGACACAGGGCTTGAACCCACGAACTGTGAGATCATGACTTGAGCTGAAGTTGGATGCTTAACTGACTGAACCACCCAGGTACCCCTGTTCTTACTTTTGATTTTACGGGCAGGCAGGCAGTCTTTCACCATTAAGTATGATATTAGCTATGAGTTTGACTTTGTTCTTGAAAGATCCTTTTGCTGAATACACAATTCTATAGAGTTACTCCTTTCAGTACGTATACAGGTATTATCCCACTATTCTCTGGTTCTCTAGTTGCTACTAACATGTCAGTTGTCAGTCTATTTACCATTCATATGTGGATGGTCTGTTTCTTCTCTCTGGATGTTTTTAAGATAGTCTTTTGTTTTTGGTAATCTGCAGTTCATTCTGATGATGTAAGTATTTTCTATTTTTCTACCGAGATTTATTAGGTTTCTGGATCCAAGGGTTCGCATCTTTGAACAGTTCTAGAAAATTGAGAGCTGTCTTGTCTCCAAATACTGTCTTCCCACTCATGGATCCTGTTACGTATCTCTAGAACTCTGACTGGATATATGTCAAATCTTTTCACTATTTTTTCCACGTATAAACTTCTCTTTTATTTTTACCACCTTCTTATACTTCTGGGCTATAGTATATACCTTTTTCTTGGCTAAATCTTATAGTTTACTAATTCTCTCCAGCAATATCGAGTCTGCTATCCAAGCCGTACATTAACTTTCTAATTTCAAATATTATATATTTTTAAGTTTTGTTTCTTTTTTAAATCTGTTGTGCTATTTGTTACAATGTGTTGTTTCTTGCTCATTTTTTATCGCTCTTCTTCCTTATTTAAACGTATTGAATGTAGTCATTACATAATGTCAAAAAATACCAATTTATGAAGTCTTTAAGGTCTCGATTCTCCTTTACATTGCTTTTGCTGACAATTAGGCCATTATGATTGCAATGAGTTACTCATTTTGTTTATAATGTTATCTCTGGGAGTTCTTCGAGGTCTGGAGTAAAGCTGAGTTCCTCCAAAGAGGAATATCATCTGCTTCTGCCATTTACCAAGTGTAGGACCACTTTCTTTTAAATTCTTGGGGTGCCTGGGTGACTTAGTCAGTTACGTGTCCTACTTCAGCTCAGGTCATGATCTTGCCATTCCCAGTTAGAGCTCTGCATCAGGCTCTGTGCTGACAGCAGAGATTCTGTGTCTTCCTCTCTCTCTGTGTGTGTTTCAGATTCTGTGTCTTTCTCTCTCTCTCTCTCTGTCCCTCCCTGACTCGTGTCTGTCTCTCTCCCTCTCAAAAACAAGCATTAAAAAATTTTAAAAACATTTAAATTTTGTTACACCTTTTTAAAATTTATGCCAGATATATAGCATGAATATAGAACATGATTCCATGTTAAAGGTGGATTACGGAGAGACATTTTGATAAAAGTTTTAGTCTCCTCTACCCAGTACCAAAGTTGGCACCGACAAGTTTCATTGTCTCCAGTCTTCATTCTCCAGTTTATTTCTCATCCATCCATACATTGAGAGTAAGATTTTCATAGGGTGGTGGGGCACCTGGGTGGCTCAGTCGGTTAAGTGTCCGACTTCAGCTCAGGTCATGATCTCACAGTTTGTGGGTTCAAGCCCCGCGTCGGGCTCTGTGCTGACAGCTAGCTCAGAGCCTGAAGCCTGTTTCAGATTCTGTGTCTCCCTCTCTCTCTGACCCTCCCCTGTTCATGCTGTCTCTCTCTCTCAGAAATAAATAAAACATTAAAAAAAAAAGATTTTCATAGGGGGAAATCTCAGCTTTACATAGAGGTCTCCTATTAGATTTCCACTCATCCCAGGCTCTAACCTCTATCTCTCTGTAGTCCATACAGCCATCAAGGCAAAAGCTCAAGGTCTCCAAGGCTTAGAGGCTTACACCTGGCATTGGCACTCACACCAGGACTTCTGCTTTTATTTTTGTTTTTCACCGGCAGCTTCTTTCCTTTCATGTCAGCACAGTAGTGCAGGGTAAAAGAGTTGTCAGAAAAAATTCGTAGAGATTTTAACCTTTTTCAACTGAGGCTATTTAGGGTAACTAGTCTCTATAACTGGCTATTGCTGGAAACAAAACTCCTCTCTTTTGTTTCACTTCTAAGCAAGTGGACATTGAAAATAGAAAAGTAAATCTATTGTTTTCCTTAAAATCTCCATGAAAAGAGATTCTATAACATCCCTGTGGTTGATTGTCAAAACGACCAAATTCTTCCTTTCTCTGCACTCGTACCTTTGAAATCTGCAAATCCTCCCACAAAAGGCAAAATTCATTTCCCTATGATCTTAAATCTGTGTTGGTCATTTGACTTGTTTTGGCCATGACATTAGCAAGCATGACAGACGCCGAGGCTCGAACAGGGCTTGCTTCTCTAAGCTTGCTCTCCTGTGCTAGAACTCTGAGCCCCATGCAAATGAGTCCGAGCCAGGCTCTGCTGGAGGACAGAAGCCATATGCAGGCACCCCACTCAATGGCCTGCCAACCACTGCCACTGATGCACTGATTTCACCACGATGAGGCAAGGGGAGGTACAAAGCGTGGGCACAGAACTGTCCCGCCAACCCAGAGAATCATGAGCTAAATAAAAAATTACTTTAAGCTAGTAAATTTTGGGGTAAGCAAACGGTAACTAATATACTTGCTTAAGAATGTAACTGCACCGTCCTAGCTCAAACCCCCCGAGAACAATTTTATCATCGTCACCCTCTGTCCTGCCTCAGTTTCTAGGGGATGTCACAATGGTCACTCACCAAGACACTTTTGCAGGTCAGCTTGCACTAAAGGGGTCTGCCAATTCTCAATATAGAATTTAAATTGCATCAATTAAAATAGAGTCCATAGATGCGTCGATAAAAAAAATGAGGGCATATGAATATGTTTATTTGCTCAGTGCAGCATCCAGTTAGATCCCGAGGAAGAAATCTGTTGAGAAAATCCATTTGCCATCGAGAAAAATGGCAAGGGAAGTCAATCTCAGACACGAGAGACTGGGGTTGGAAGCAGTTACGAAAATGAAAAGATCCGAGGTTTCAATTGACCTTAAATTCAGTCCATGTCGATGGTGTGAAATGGTTCCTCGGGAGGTCAGTTCATCATCAGTGATGTTCACAGAAATGTTGCCCTCGCTGTAGTTGACAGACCTTGAGAGCCATGGTCTATTCTGGGCGCTGTGCTTTTCGAATGATACTGACAAACCAGAAAGGCTCAAGGAGGAAGACTCCAGGATGATGATACAAGCTGGAATCGTTTCAGATGAGGCTCAGTGTAAGGATCTGCAGTGTAATCGGGCATGGGGAGCCCTGGCTGCTGCAAGTGTGTGAATAGCAGTCACAGTTGGAAAGCAAACACGAAGTGCTCCTCAGACTGCCTGAGGACAAATCTAGACCCAACGGATAGAAGTTACCCATTCGAGCTCAAACATTTTCTAAACTCACAGGGCAGTCCAACCTCAGATTGGCTGCTCTGTGGAACAGGAAGCCTGGATGAGGAGTTCAAGAAGTCGAGGCTGGGGAGGCGTCCGTCAGGGACAGCGGGGAAGGGAGCGTTACCCTGCTTGGGCCAGAGGCCTCTCCAGGCTCTGTCAGCGGAGGCCCTTTTCCTTCCTGCTGTTGGTTATCCTGCTTCTTTAGGAATGTATAGATCCTAAGAGCTCAGAAGTAACCCAGCCTCCGTCTTCTCCCAAATTACAGACCTTAGTGGAGTCCTAATGGACTTCTCCTTTGTTCAACTTAGCCTTTGAGGATGGCCACACGGTCACAGGACAGGTGCTCACCTCAGAGCCATGCTGAATTTTAGCCAGGACAGCTTACTCCTTCATTCGCTCTCAGATTGATTTTTACGCACGAGACAGGCGTCTTTCCAGATCTGTACGTTAAGCTTCAAGGATTGCTTTTTTCATTCCAGGTCAGCACTGCCACTCTGAGGTCACCAGGTTCCCTCTCTCCCCCACGACCCAACTCTTCTGTCCCTCTTCCCTCCACACTGCCTACGGGAGAGTTCCTATAACAGGCTAAGGGAAGTTTTTCGGGGCGTGTACAGGTATCTCAGCGGCCTGTGTTTGTTCTGCCTGCCCCTGAGGCATGTCCTGGGGGTGAACCAGGGTCCGCAATCTGACAAGGGAGCGAGGAATCTGGGTCTCTTACCTTGACAGGTGAAGCATCTGATGTGGAAGTGGTTATTGTGGACACGAACCACTTCCCCTTTGCAGGTGTCTCCACATCGGTAGCACTGGATGACATTGGAGCTGCCTCGGGGATTGTAAGGAGTCTGCTGATAAGGAACTATAGGAAGAAGCAAAAAGATCACCATCCAGAAGGCCTGTGCTCTTTAAAAACTCTGCTATAAGACATTAGCATAATCTTAACTGGGAAAAAAAAGCAGAAAGGGAAGTCATTAGCCAAGTACCTTCAATACATCACCAGGGCAGCACATGCCAGCTCAGGCATCGTGAGGAGGTGCGTGGCACTGAGATGAGACTCCATAAATCTCCTTAAGCAGAGATTTAAGGCAGGCAGAGACATAAGAGTGAGCATACCCTTTCCTTGCAATAATAGTGGCCAAACTCATGGAAGAAGAAAAGTAAAAGAGGAAGTCGAGTACTTCAAGGTAGATGATCCAGAAATAGCATTTCTCGGTGATTTCTGGATCGAGACCAGCCCCCACGCTTCTCAAAGAGAATTTGGGTCTTGCAGTTGACATGGGTCTCAAAGAAATGGGCGGCTGACCCTGCCTCCCTCAGGACTTTGAGTGAAGGAAGAGACACCCTCTCACTGGGCCTCTTGTCTTGACATCTGTAAAATGCGGGTGGTCAGTGGTAGCACAGACTTTGTATAACAAAGAGGCCTAAAGGAGAGGCACTCTAGTTTGGAAGGAGGTTGATGAGGGGACTCCTCTTACAGCTGCCTGTGAGCGTCAGTTTCCATAACACTGAGTAAATGTCAAAAGTATATAATTAAGAAAAAGGATCTGGTAGAGATGACGAAGGGGCTGAAGTCCCCGGAGGTTGGGCGTTTGACGATACTATAGAGCTCTGCTAGCCTATGTGTCTATTTCCTCTTGCTCAGACTGTCTCATGGCCACTTTTCTAGATCTCCTGTCCCTGAGATATACTTTGCTTAACCATTCTAAAATCTGGTCATCTGATGAGAGTACTTTTTTTGTTCATTTGTTCTAAGCACCTGCTTCATTCAGGGTTAGAAGGGATATTGACAGCTGTCTGGTCCACTCATTATGTATAAGCTGTTGAGACGGCTTTGCCAATGAGGAACCAAATCTCTCTTGTAGAAAGCTCCTGGGGGACTGCGAGAGAATTCCTCAATTCCCTAATTCTCAACGTTGAAGCCACAGTGCAAAATTGTTTGCTCATATCTTATTAGGAGAAGGCTCCCTCTTATCCTGGCTATAAATATGACCACCTGATTGGAGGGGAATTGATGTCTATCATTTAGTCATATAGATTTATTGCCCACATTTTGAATACGCATATTATAAATCACACAAACCTTGTACTGAAAAGGAACTTAGGGATCACTTGATTCAGGGCTTCCCAACCTAGTGCAGTAGTTGTTAATGGCTATTGGCTGAAATCTGAATCTTTTATTCTAGGCACATGAAGGCTGGAGCATGGTGTCTTGCTTGATAATGACATGTGAATGGAAATTGTGTGTGTTGCTTTGGAAGCCCCATGAGCCAGGTTTTGCTTTTTCCATAGCCCAGCAACCAGCAACACCCCAGATGGTGTGCAGGATGCATCAGGTTGGGTCCCTGCCTGGGGAGTCATGGAGCAGAACTCCAAGGCTAGCCCAGGACGAACACTGATTGTGAGTAAGGAGGGATCTTTGTTGTCATAGCCTTGTTACTGCAGCATATCCTGACGGATGCACCTGGGATCTAGTATTTCCAATTAACTATAAGATTTGGTGCTATGTACATTATCCTACAGCTTCCTCCAGATTCTCAAAGATGATCTTCATAACTGATCTCATCCGTCTTCTTCCTTTTGAAGAGAAGACACAGGAAAGCAGGACTTTCAATTCTCGTTCACTTACAGGTATCCTGAATTCCCAGTGCACCTTGGGCAAAAAACTGGTTGCTTAGCCCTGAATGTGTTGCCTCAGACAAGTTTGCTATCTGAGGTGGGAGAATATTCTTCTCACTACCTTTTTCTCAAGTTCATGCTCCTTATCCAACTCTTTTCCTGTCTTAAATTTAAGACAAAAATTAAGTGAGTTAACTGGTTAACTAAATCATTAATTAACTCATTAAATGGGTTAATAGGCGTCCAGCATTTCAAAAAGCACATGAGGTGCTCCACAAATGGTCGCTTGTACCCTGATCGGCACACCATCCCCACAGCTCAGAACAATCCTTCCCCACCCCCAGAACGTCCATACACATCCATCCTGTCTCCTTTACTTCTTTCTCTGATTCTTGTACACCATCCCTGGAAAATATTCCACTCTCCCCTCTCCCACCAATTTGTGAAAACAAAAAAATGTAGATCCTGTTTATTTGAGCAGTGAAGTGACCCACCATTGTTGAGGGAAACAAACCTGTGAGTCTGAAAATCAAGTAAGACCTAACAGAATAATCATCACCAACAAGGAAGAGAGGTCTTAACAGTAGCCAAAAGTCCCTCCAATTTTCAGCTACCTCTTCTAATTTAACCTGCTTTATTGCTCAAGAACCCACTTCCAAGATCAATTAGATTTTTCCCTGATTTGATTTTCTGGGAAAATTTATGCGTGATCATGTCTTCAGTCAAAACTCAGTCTTTGAACCACTCAGATAAAAAGGCGTAAAATCAGAGTGAGGGGATGGATTGAGAAAGTGGGTTTTTTGGCAGGGGGCGGGGTGCAGGGCAGGCAGGATGGGCATAGTTACCAGTGGGTTCCCCCAGCCCTAACTCTGCCGCTTCCCTCAGGATGAGGGTGCCACTTTGGTGATGCTGACAGGCTAGAAACCCACAAATGTTTGATGTTTGTAAATAATCCCACAAATAGAAATGCAGGCATCGCGGGCGTGAATTCTTCCAGACTGCTGATGTAAATAAACTGTGACTAGAAAAGGGCAGCGGTGTAGCAGGATTTGATCTTCAAGACGTGTGAAGATCTTTCCTTATCTAGATAGTGCCCGCAGGGACTCTAGGGGTCAAGGGAGGCTATGCTGAGATAGGCCATATCTGCTCCTGCCCAGAAAGGGACCTCATTTCCAACAAGATTTTTGTATCCTCGGGTAATGAAATCAACAACTTAATCTAACATGATTCTGTGTACGTAGGTGTGTATGGTCATTTCTTCCCACCAATCTACACCCCTCCAAAAAAAAAAAAAACCACATTAAAATTTTATTTTCTGCTGGTTATTCTTTCCACCAATTTTTATCTCAGAAAGTACTACAAATCAGTCACATGATTTAAAACATTTATCTTACGGGAAAATGTCCCTTGAATTCCGAATCGACTCATACCTGAATTTTGGAACTGCCTATCCTTGGGAGCAATGTTTTAGAGCAGCCATGAGCCTCAAATGACATTAGCTCTGCTCGCTGGTGAAATAATCCATGAAGTTCCCAGTTTAGACATATGGATCATGAGATATGTTTCTAAAATGCGTGCAGGGAATCTCTGGCTTCTGTTTAATGTTATTTGGCCAATAAAGGGCACCTATGAGAGACATTCTCCCTGCCTGGTCTGTAAGCAGGGCTGTCCAGTAGATTTCTGAGTACGGAACCGTTCTATATTTATACCGTCCAATATAATAACTACTAGCCATATGTGAGTGTTGGGTACTTGAAATGTGGCTCGCGTGACTGAGGTACTGAATTTTTAATTTTATTTCATTTTAATTAATATAAATTTACATTTAAGCAGCCACATGCAGCCAGCAGTACCATTATTGGACATACGGCTTTATAGATCCACAAACGGGACACCAGGCAATGAGGATGGGGAGGAAAAGAAACGAAATCTAGTTGAATCCTATTTACATAAAAAGAACATTTATATAAAAAGAACACGCACCAATTAATTCAGGAATACCGCCTTAGACTCAAATTATTCCTTTTCACCCTTGAAGAGCGTTAAAGTTGTACATAAAAGCGGTTCGCAATAGGAGCCAATGACGTACACACATTCACCCATCCTGCGTTTCATCTGGAAACAAAATCTTCTGTGCAGTGAAATCAATACCATTGTTTTCTAAATCACCATTTTTCAGGCACTGCGAGACTGAACAATCTTGATTTTTCCAAGAACGGAAGCAAAGAAGTCAATTGGCAAAGGCTGTCAGAATAATTTTTTATGACAGCAAATCAGCTGGTCAATGCCTTCGAGATGAAAAACGAAGGGTCTGGAATATGAAGCATTCTTTTACATGCATAGCAAATCTGTAGCTCGACGGGAAAATACAACTTAATTCCGTGACTCAGTTTGCACGTGAAGCTCTTCCCAAATGTGACAAAGATAATTTAAAAGTGTTGGAGCAAACAGCACATCGGGAGGGGAGGGGCGGCCGGCCTCCTGGCAAGTTTCAAGGAGCCTGTGAGTTGAACAAGCAGAGCCTCCAATTTCTCCATCGGGCTTTTTTCCCTAGCTTTTTCTCCCTCCCTCTGGCCGTCCTTTACTTTATTTTAGGTGCCTCTCACTCATAGATAGTGCGAGGTGGCCTGAGTTCCGATTCCCTCTCCACTCCTACCTGGTTCTGCCATTTTGGACAAATCCTCCCTCTGTCCTCACTGGGAGCCTGGACACAATGATTTACAAGACTCTCTCCAGTTAAAGGCTAGGTCTGGCTCTGTGTGTCCCTTTCTGTGCTTCCTTCTCCTCCCACCCCTCCCTTCTGTCCATTAACTGGTCTTGACTTTTCAACGAGACCGTGTTGTCTGTCACTACATGAGTCTCCTTTGAGAGCAGATAATGGTGTGACTGCCCTCTCCCAAACAGTGCGACTTAAGTTGTGTTCTCCTTCCTGATGCGGTACCTGCACAATTTGCCTTCCTCCCCTGAGGGTTGCCTGACCTTGTTGATAACAACATCCCTACATTCTCTTTAAAAGGCAGGGGCACCTATGCTATCCTGGGGTAGAATGAAAAGAGTGACAAAACTGACTTGGAGGCAGTACAACTGTGAATCACTGGCTGGGAGTGTAATAAAAACAGCGAAGCTTCTGGGTGAATGGTGTAACATGGAGCAGGGAATCAACCGGTTCGAAAATGCGCTTGCAACCGCCCCGGGGCCCAGGAAAATAACAGACTGCAGGAACTGTCACACATCAACTCCCCA